TCGAGTGGCAGCTGCGTGGAGCACGTCACCGCCTGCCAGGCTGCCCACAGAGAAGCCTTGTCTATTGTCGTTTTTGTCAAAAGGCAGAAGCAAATTTTCTGTTGACCCATTTTATGGGTGACTAAAATATAATCAATATAATGTAAACAGAAGAATCTCATTGGGAAAAGGCTTAGCTGGGTTGGGTGTTTCACTGTTTGCTGCTCTGAGAGGGCTTTCATGTGCTATGGCTCTGTGAGTGGCTGAAAACAGTGAGGACTGATTGAAACACGTTAGTCTTGGAAAAACAACAAATTAATCTGTAATATCAATCTAGAAAGTAATACGCATCACTTATCTGTTTGCTACCTACTGCCTGTGACTCTAGATGAGTCAATTAGGTTTAGAGGCTTCCTGTAGAAAATGTAAATATCAGGGCCTTTCTTCCCTTTTTGGGGCCACCATCGAGTAAAAGGAATAATCAGTGTTGCTTAGAGATTGTCTAAACAGCTTTTTTTTTTTTTTGCTTTTAATGCTGAGATGTGAATTATAAAGAAAACAAAGAAGCATCATTGAGAGGTTTGTCAACTGAAACCCCCTGTAGCAGGATCAAAGGCACTTAGGCTGCTGTTGCTCAAAGTTATTTATAAGAAGGAATATGTTGTATATTAAGTGTTGAGGGGAATGGACTAATGCATGTTGCTTGGTAGTTGGCACTTATATATATATATTTTAAACCTTGGCATTTTTTAAATGTGAGTTTATTGTCATAAAAAGTTAAGCTTCTCCTAGATGAACATCAGGGTGAAGAATTGTAGAATAATTTAATCGTTATTTGTTGTAGTATGTCAGGAAAGATAAAGTTGAAAGAGTTTTCTAGGACTTTTTGTGGTATCTCTTTTGCTGCAGTAGGTTCCTGTCTTGCACTGTGCTTTTATGGGAAGTTGGCTGTAAAATTTAGGCTCAGCAGGCAACCCATTTTTTACTTTTCTTCAGCCCTTTTACTATGAAAATGATATTATTAATTATCCATTTTTACTATTTCCTTGCATTGTACTGCCAATATACTTCAATTACAAGTTTAAAAAAAAAAAAAAAAGTGATTTGACTCCAAAATCTGGTAGTCAAACTATGGCTATGTATACAATCAAGACATGATTTCTAGCATGGGGGCTGTCTATCCCTATAGGAATGAGTGCCTTCAATAGCATAATAATAAATGCTCATGTAAGTACCAGAGCATCGAGTGGATGCTTGGTATCTCAAAGAATGAGCATAAACTATTTTCTAGCTGAAATGTAGACAGCAGTTGTTGATCGTGCACCAAACGGGGCTGGGTGCCTGGCTGCCTTTGTTTTGAGCAGCAGATAATCCCCAGCTGTGGTGCCATCTGCTTGCCTCGACCAGGAGCTGTGCCCTGCCTGCCCCCAGCCCCAGTGCGGGCCGGGACCCCTGCATCTCCATCACCTGAGGTCTCCACAGGTACCCCATAGGTGGTGGTGCTGGCTGCCCTCTGACTGTGTAACACCAGCTGTGAAACAGCAGTCTGGGCATGCTCTAGCAGTTATTTATCTCATCTGTTCATTAAAATGTTCTGATTTAGAGATTTGATTAGCCTGCAATTGGGAAAGTTCACTTCAGTCTTGCCTGCTGCATGTGGAATTTACGGCATGCAACTGTTGGCATGGTTTTTCTTGATTGCCGTTCCCTTTTAGGTAGGAAAGACTGTAATCATGTCCTCCCCCAGGCTTCTCTCCTGTGACCCTTTCTCATAGGTCACATCTCTTTAAATGTATTCCTATTTCTTTTGTCTCTCTTCAGCATTTCCCTAATTGCCTTTCTCACAAAATGGGATATCGTCTGTACTGAAGAGTGCACTGATGTCTTACATGTATTAACAGAAAAGTACTTGCCTTTTTGTATAGCTTTTTGATAGGGGCATATTTAATTTGGCCATCTATGTATGCCTGCCATGAACTGGTCTGTTTCTTCTGACAATTCAGTGTTGTAGTATTTTGAAGGAACTAATACCACTGCAGATATACAGAAGTTTATGAAGTCTAACAAAAATTAACTCCAGATTCCTGTCTTGCAGCTCTGTTAACTGAGACAAGGTTACAAGGAGGGAAGAAAGAACCCATGCTTGCCAGAAATACACACTTTAATCCAAAAACTGTCAAAATTATGTTCAGTACTTGCACTGGCAAGAAAAAAAGTGCTTTCACACTGATGTTGGCCCAGTCTGACTTCTGGTGAGATAAAAGATAAGTCAGCAGAGCTGTGCTCTGGCTGGGACTAAAACCGGGCACCATGGCAGCAGAGCTTTGCTCAGGTGGCCACCAAGGATCTTTCTGCTTCCTGTAGGTGGGTTTTGCCCCGCTGCAGAACTAGAAGTGCGTCACTAACTCCTCTCAGTCTGCATAACAGATCTGCTCTAATGTGTCTGCAGTAAATTTATGAAATGGGTATGGAGAGCCCTAAACACTTACGGACAAATTTTTAAAAGAGAGAGAGGGGGGGGAAAAAAAAAAACAACAACAACAAAAAAACACCAGAGCCATTCTTAATGAACTTTCCAAATTGTTTGTTTGTTGTTTGTTTAAAATAAAAAAAGGAAACAAAGGCCACCAAATCCCCCCGATGCACCTGTGACTAGCTAGATATAGTTTTAAGCTTTGGATGGACACATCTTTGAATGGCTTATGTGTATATTAAAAACAAATTCAATACAAACGTGGTTGGGATGTTCTTAATGTCACTTTTATGCAAGTGGAACAAGATTGACCAAGTTACTTCCTTGTTCAAAAATTATAGGGCTACTACACTACCTTCTCAGGATTTTGTTTGACTCCAGAGACAGAGGTGTGATCTGTAATGAGATACATGAATGAAAAGAGGAAAAACCAAAACCTTGTAATTGGGTCAGGAAGTTGTTGCTTTAATCTCTTTTAGGATGATGGCAAGCATCTGAAAAACATTTCATTTTTGATACAGTATGGGTGCAATATAGAGCAATGAGGACAGAGGGAAAAGCCTCTGGCTCCTGGTGCTTGTGCCCTAGCATTGGGGGTGGCTGCAGCCTGTGCTCCTCAGCAAGCTAATGAAGGGCTGCCTCTGCTATGAATGTGTCAGATGGTCATCTGAACAGTGCTCTGCTAGGAAGCTACTTGCATCCTCTGAGTGTGCGTGAGGGATGGGCAGTATGAGCAAAACCACAAATCTCGTTATAGGTAGAGCTTTATTTCTAAAACAGTAATTAAGCATTAATTAGAAGTTCAGTAATGGGAGTAGTTGCAGGAAACTAAAAGAGCTTCTCCACAGGGAAAACTTGCATAGCCTCAGTGTCTCAGAGGGGCAGAAAAGGGGTGCAAATAAAGCTTGGATATTTTGTGCACGATGATAGCAATCTCAAAGGAAATTCCATTCCTAATTTATAAACATTTGGGGGAATAATTACAAAATCAATAGGGATTTTCTCAACTCAGCTGAAAGGTCATAAAGTCACTTGAAAGGTTAAAAAATTACATATAGTTTTGAAATTACTTTTGCCAAAAGAAAAATATGATAATGCTGCATTATGGATAGATTATCCATTACAAAGTTTGTTGAAAACAGAAATATAACAGGAAAATACATCTTGTTGCAAACTGGATTAAGATTAAAAAAATTGTGAACATGCACTTGACCCTAGACAGAATCACCTCCAAAATCAATGCTTAAATTATACCTCTGTTTGTCATAATTCCCCCCACTTTTTTATTTTATTTTATTTTATTTTTTTAAGGCAACTTTCTTCCCAGAGCTATATGCTGGAAAATGCTGTTAGACAAGCATTTATTTATCAATGCTGTTCTGGATTTGGGATTTGCTTCCTGTCAACTATCACATCTAATGATTCACGGTCTCTTCTCATGCAGAACTGACTCTGCATCCACCACAGATTAATTTTCCATAGTTTTAGTGTAATTTTTGGAAACAAATTGTTTGCAATTAATGCAGCATATAAACCCAATTTATATCGAGGGCTTACACACAGAGCTACAACAATCAAAACCATGAGCACCATCTTCACATTAAGGGAACTGGAAAACCTACTTCACTTATAGGGTTTTCTATGATGGTTGTTTTAGATATCACCTCAAAGTCAAGTCTTTCCAGGTATTGCATTAAGCAATACACCATGAAAAGTGGTGTATTCCAGGAGACAAGTCATCCACTAAAAGATTCTTTAACCAATTTTCTCAGAGATAAAAGTAGCCTTGTAGTGTTCTGTAAGAGTTGACCTTTAAATTCTTTTAAATCTGTAATTTTAAAGAGTTAAACTTTTCTTTAAAGAGTTCATTCTTTAAAGCTGTCCATTACATCCTTAACAAATCTGGTTTATTGATTGTCACAAATGAATACAAACAACAGCTGAGAAAAGAGGTAAAACGGAATCCATTCTATGGCACATCAGGCAGCAGGAATTCTATCTGGTGCAAATTCACTTCCCAGAAGCAAACAAAGTAAACTTTAAGACTGCCAAAATCCATTCTCTTTAACATACCAATAAATGGTAATCTTGGTGATACAGTAAAAGTTGGGCTAGTATTTCAGTAGAGCAATTCTGCATCACAATTTAATTCTTCCTTTTGTCCTAATTATATAAAATATCTGACATTAATTTCTACTGCTCTTCAATACCATTGTGATTGAGGTCTCACGTTTCCCTTGAAACACCAACTAAAAGTGCATTTTTTAATTGTTCCACTGTCCTTAAGATCCAAGAAAACCAGTGTCCCTAATAGAAAGGTTTTTGCAGCAAGAAACTGATTATTGCCCACATCAGCTAATCAATTCTATTTGCTCATCTCTTGGGGTGTATTTGGCACAGGTGACAGTCATAAAAGCCTACATCCAGATCTGAGTTAAATATTGGATTTTAAGAGAACCATGAATCCTTCAAACTTCTACTACAATAAAACAGGAACAAGTAATGCCAAAATCTTTTTTTTTTTTTTTTTTCTTTACATGTTTCCTAGGACATAGTTCCCTCTGTTTCTGATAATGTCACTTGGAGGAATGGGCTTGGAAACAGAACTTTACAGGGGTGGAACTATAGGTAATCTTTTTTTATTATTATTTATTTATCTATTTGTTATCAAGTGCATGCATTTATGAGCATCCATGCTTGTATTTGTGCAGGTGTTGGGCCCCTGGTAGAGTATACTAAAATGCTTTTTGAAGCATAATTACACTCAGAAATGTATAATTACAATTAAAGTTAAAAATAAAAATAAAAGTATTGTTTGTTGGAATTGTTGTTTTTGTAATTTACAGGCTGTAATCCTGTCACTGTACAGTCTGATGTTAAGTGATGTTAATAGTTACAAAAAATGTAAAGACTCAGTTTTACACATCCTGTGTTTTCAAAAGGCGCCACAAGTGACAGGACTGTTCTATAATACTTCCAAATTTATAGAAGCTTTATGTACAGCCAGAATATTTTTAATAAAAGCTTACCACCAGTTTAATTCTTAGTATGGTACAGAAATTAAAGAATAGTATTTCATAATCTCCCCCAAGTACATATAAACTAACTATTCTACAAATAGGAGGGAACACAATTATTCTTGAACAATTTGTTTAAGTTTCTTTAGTTCAACCTATTACTTTTATGCTATATTAGAATACTTATGGAACAATTTTCCTGCAAAATGCTTTAATTTAACTGCAACTTTTCTTAAAGGATCTACTGTTCTGTGGTGTATCATCTATGTCTCACAATATCCTGTAGTGTCCCATGTGTATGTCCCCCACTTCTCAATCAAGCATACCACTGTGCGCCTCAGGAGAAAGGATGAGCAGGAAGAAACATTATAAGCAGGTATGCTTCAGGAAAACTTGTCTTCTAAATACTATGTATTTACTGAGTTGTTTAGAGTAAATAATTATGATAGACTTTAAGTAGTATCTATGATTAGAATATTTTGGGGAAAGACAAGTCTACTCAATTGACTTAAAAACAACCCTGGTTGATATAATGTTTACACACGTTGGAAATCATCTCTGTTCTGCTTTATTCTCTGCTTTTTGCTCTTGGTCATTCTCAGCTTTAATTTTTAAATAAGGAAGTCAGTCAGTAATTGCTGTCAGTTCTTCTGCATCGACCTGCTTTACCTGTTCACAGTTCAATTTTTATTAACAGAAGTTCTCAGCAGTTTCGGGTGGCATACAGACTTTCTTGAGAGAAAATACCCCCACAATTATCACGTACAGTGCACGGATAGATGCTCCAGAGCCTGATTCTGGCTCCTGCTGTAGGTTTTGCACGCTGGTATATCAATTTGTATTATATCAATTTGTAACAACCACAAATCTACCTGGGGAAAAGCAAGTCCTCCACGACTGAAAAGCCTCTAGCCTGAGACCGGCCATATGGCCATATCCCAGAGAAAAAAAACTCATGCCACATCTGAAATGTCACCCTAGCCAGCTTTTATGTTAAGGAAAAGACACAAGATGACATATGACTAGTTTTCTTTCCTTTGATATCCTATGCTAAGCAAAGCTCAGCCAAAGTCCAAGCCAAAACCTGTAGTTAATCTTTTTTTTTTTTTTTTTTTTTTTTTTACTGATATTTGGGAGGCTTTTTTCTCATTTACATCCCAGCAATGCTTTCTTTGTGTGTGATGTTTTCAGTGTGACTGTTTCAATTTTATAAACAGCTGATTTGTTACCTCCATCCCTGCAGCATTTGTGGTTTGTTCTAAATTGCATGCCTGGTTTATAAATGAGTTTTCTTAATTATTGCCATTCCTGTTACTTCCTTTTAATTAGACAGCAGATTCTGTCTCAGACTTTCTGGTTGTTCATCCTCCTGTGCGCAGATTTTAAAACCACTTTTTGAAAGTGGAAGGTTTATTCTCTCTTTTCCTAGAAAGTCCTGTTGTGAGATAATTCAGAACATTTTGGCTTTGCTGATTCACATCAATAGATCCCTGACAAAGAAAACTGCAAGGATAAAACTGGATTTTTTACATCCTGTATGTCCTTTTTCCTGCATTTCAAAGTAGGTATTTTTTCAGTGCCAGTTGATCTAACTGCATCTGATTGCTTTTCAGTCTTTAATTTAGTTTGGGATGTAAACTGTCCAAGTAACAATTTGAGTGATGCAGCAACAGAAGGTGACCCAGATTACACAACACCACACGCTAATGCCAAGTCTTCTTGTTTAATGGCAGCTGCTCAAAGCTTTGTCTTATTGCAATTCACATTCAACATACGCAAATCAAACAGCCTCCTCCGACAGACACACATCCTGCCTGTCTTCATTTTAAGCATGTTTAAGAGCTACTGCTTTTCATAAACATACATCAGCCTCGCCAGCTGAGGCCACTTAGCCTCCTTGGCTTGGATTTACTCTCAGCCATCTGACAAAATTGTCAAGGAAACCCATTGTGACTTCCAACACTTTGCATACTTCTGTTTATGTGAAAGTTTGCTGTAAATATTTTTTTCTATTAAAAATAGTTGGACTTTTATACTCTCTTATAATGGACATATTTAGTACCCCAAATATCAGTTGTTTAATAACTGATTTCTGGAGAGATTTTAATTAAAAAGCTAGGAGAAAGGTTATATAATAAAGCAATGGGTGCTGCTAAAACACACAGCTTGTACAGGTTTTAGCAAAATACTTTTATTTTAAAGAGTTAGGTTTGAATTTACTGGATGAATGGTATCAACATGCTAGAATTTTATCGGAACGCTTTATTGCTGTACTTTCAATATGTGAAGCAAAGTATTTAAAACGTTTTCATTCTTCATTTAAGAAAAAAGTTTAAGTGTGAAGATCAGGAAAGCTATCACGCAATGAGTTTATACAACTTAGTTTCTTGGACCAAATCTTTTTTGGCATCTCCATCAAATTTTTAAAGCCTTCTGACAACACAAGCTTCCTGCTGGAAGTGCACATCTAGCAAATCTACCCAGAGGACATGTCAGAACAGTAAGAAAAAGAACAAATCTTACTTTTTAAATGGATGAGCAGCAAAAAACTGAGGTAGAAGAATAGTAGAGAGTTAATTCTTGAATGAGCCATATTCATCTTGATAGGACATCCTCCACCGAGTTGTCTGTTCTCCAGAGGGGCTGATGCTGATCCTCACTGCTTTCTCCTCATCGCTGAAAGCAAGGTACTATCAGAGGCACTGAGCCCACTGTAACCCATCTTTGCCTGTGACCCTCGTCAGTCCGTTCCCTGCAAACCTACGGACTTTGCTTCAGAAGGCAGTTGTTGTTAAGGTTTTACTTCAGCAGGTCTGAGTGATTTTTCAAACCTGGTGCAGATTTGTCTGTGAACTGGACTGGAGTCTTTCCCCAGCTTTCTGCTACTGGAGTGTCATGAACGGTGCAGCGTGTCTGGCTGACACAGCACAGCAGATGATGCACAGGGCTCTTTTAATCTTTCAGCATGCATTATCTTTTATTACAGCTCCATTACGTCTTCTGATTGTGTAAACACTTTATGCTTTTTTTTGCATAAAGCCACCTAATAAACACCTTGTGCTTTTTGCATTTTTCTGTATCATAACCCCATTAGTACATGAAGATTAAACTATCCCATATTCAGTCTTTTTCTTTCTTTCCTTTTTTTTTTTTTTTTTTTTTTTTCCATTTAGATATTAGCTGATTCTCTGCCAGAATCTTTTTGTTTTGTTTTGTTGGTTTGGGATTTTGTTGCTCGTTGTTTTTTTGTTGTTGTTGTTTTTGTTTTTTCACTGGTTTTATTTACTTTTGCCATTTTTATTTTTTAAGGGGATAGCAACTGGGAGCTGGTACAGGCCCTTCATCAGGACAGGTCCATTAGTTGTAACTTTGAAGCTGGGAGGACCTTTCATTTGCAGATTCAGACTCATCAGTTGATTGCACCTTTGTTTACAGATCTTAAATCCTTGTCCTAGCCAAGCAGAAGAGGAGGGAAGGAAGATGATGACAGCCCTACAGCCACTTTCAGATGCTACAACCCTAATAGAAACTTTAGTCTTCTGGTACCCTACAAGCCCGTGTGTTGTTCAGCATGTATGTTTACCATATATTATGCCATGAAAACCATCGCAGTAGCATAATTCAGGCCAAGAGATGACTTTCCTCTCCTCTTTCTACCATCTTCACTTCTACATGCCTTTCTGGCCTTTGGCCCTAAGCGCTTCCTGCTTGCTCTTCTTGCCACTGTGCAGAGACCAGGCATTTCTGAGCCCCCAAAAAGAACAAAAATCTGCTTGGCCATTGCTGTGTTATCATACCATGAAACACACAATGCTCAGACAGTTTATGGCAGTTGTTTGTAATGGGTAGGTACTTGCACATCCACTCTTTCAGCTCAGTGAACTGAATAGTTTTAAAACTTTCCCTGTTTCAAGACCCTTCTTTCATTCCCATGTTGTTCATGCACAGTTGCTGCTCAGTAACCTTGTGCCACGTCTTTCCAGACCAAAGTCTATGAACAAATCCCAGGTCTTCTGAAAGTTCTTAAAATTGGGTTTCTTATAGGATAGCCAAACGAGATGCCCAGAAGAGCTGCTTTTTCATCCTTTTTGAAACTTAACTCTGTGTTTCACAATACCTATTTCAAATGTTTCTTCTTCCTCATGCGCTATGCATATCCCAGAATTTAATGGTGAGCAAACTAAATTAATTTATCATAGCTCCAGTTTCTAGAAGTTGCTGACAGGAGAGGTTTGACTTTCCACAGTACTGATATTCTGAACATCATCTGTACACAGTGAAACGTAACATCTGAATGTAATTTCAATTCTTTCAATTTCTTTCTCAGTACAGTTTAGCTTTGATGAAATTCTGCAGTCATACAAGTAAGAGGCTATGTCACTTTCTCAGGGAAAAGGGCTGGTGTTGCCATTTTCTTTCACCTAAGTGCTGCCCTTTCTGTTCCTATTGCTTCTTTGCAATAATTACAATGTGGTATGGTATCAGACTATACTGGTCAGTGTAATGTCTTCTAAAATATTTTACTGCATCTCTGGCCAGCCAACTTCATCACCCAAAATCTTTTGCTGCCAGCTATAGGCAGTGAGACTGGTGTTGCTCCAATTTAAAGTGCAATTTTTACTAACACCATTCTGTGCCTTCTAGGTCAAATAGAACTATAGGTGATTTTCTTAAGTAATTGATCTTTTTTCTAGTCTGTAAAATGCTACGATGTTTTTAATCTAGATTGTAAAATAAACAGAAACTACTGCAGTTAAATAACCCACATTAAGTGTATAATTCCCTTGAAAGTAGGCAATGTGTTTACACAGTTTACAAATGGTTTGTTGCTGACTAACCTGAAACTTTTATTAAAAAGATGTTTTGTTTTGTTTTGTCAATGATAATTAAAACACTGGTTGGAAGCAGGTGGGTGATTTCATGGAAGCGTGGAGCAGTGATGAAGATATTGATATTGCCTAGAGAGGTTGTGAATATGCAAAACTCAGCTGGATAAGGTCCTGGGCAGTGTGCTCAAGCTGGACCTGCTTTGAGCAAGTGGTTGGACTAGGGACCTCTGGAAGTCTCTTCCCACCCATATAATCCTGTGATTCTCTGTTCTCTAAATATAGCATTAGTTTTTTTGTTTTTGTTTTTTTCTGTACGAGCTCCAGCCTATTTTAGATCAATCCCTAACTTTGCATTCCTAATGCAGAAAACTTCTGGTTTTATTATACACTGCTTGTTTTTCTGAGGTTCTTTTTTTTTTTTTTTTTTTTTTCTTGCTAGCATTCAGCCATGCTCTTTTATTTTTTCCTTTTCTTTTTATCTTCTGTTAGGTGCTTGCCAAATTTCATCATGGTTATGTGCCACTATTCACTGTTAGTAGAATTTCATTTTATGAAAAGCCTATGGAGCATGAGGGCATGGAGTCACTCAGCCATGCCACCCTTGGGCCTTCTAACCACTAGGAGACATCTCATTCTGCACGTTCTGGAGATGTGTGCTGGTTCACTCATGCAAACTGTCCTGTTGAAGTCAGATAAACACACCTGGAAAGCTGCTTTGAAGCTCGTATCAGAAAGATGAGGAGGATTTGATCTGTATAATTGTAGCTGCAGCTAAAGTACATCACAGCAGGTTAATTCTAAACCATACACTTTAAGAGAACAGCAGTAGAAAGATACTTTACTTATCCGCAGTGAAATGCAGGTGCTCTCCGCATGAACGTAAGAGCATGTATCTATATTGTCATCTTGTGTGGGGTGTTAGAATACATTTCTGAAGTATTTATTGGAAACTCCAGATGATGGAGCTTGCAAAAACAAAGGATTTGACCAGATCATCTTCCTGTTCATGATACTCATGCCCTTTTTAATATACATAGCATTATTTTTGGTTGGAGTTCTTTGGATAATTATGAATGGGCAAACCAACATGTAAATGGTCTTGTGGATAGAGAATTGTTTTGTAACAGCAAATTGTTTATTTCATTAACAAAACTGCTATAATCTATTTGCATTTTAACTAGGCACCTTGCAACAAGATCAACTGTATGTACATTGATTTCATACCACACTTGCAAAGTTAACTGCCTTTAAGAGATAATAAGAAATTCACTTGGTCTGTGCTTATGCACTGATAAGTATTTTATTATATTGTTAGTCTGCAAATATTATGTTTAAGCTTACTTTTCATTGCTATTAATATGTACAATTATTTTTGTCTTCTCCCTTTGAATTCTTGCTTTGAACTTTTTTCCCTCCTTCAGTCTGAGTAGCAATTCAAAGCAGAACACACTCTTGCGAAAGACATAGATAGAGCATGGGCTTTCAGTTTTATCAATCTGCAGATTATAAATGGATTTATGAAACTAAAGGGTTGTGTTTTAAAATGTATGATTACAGAAGCATCAAGTTTATTCATTCAAATGTATCTTCTTTTTATTCACTCAAATGTATCTTCTTTTTATTCACTCTAATGTATCTTCTTTTGGGTGTAACAGAAACGGCAGGAGCGATGATCCAGGCGCTGCTTCCAACCATGTATTCAACTACAAGAATTTCAGGCCACGGTTGATAGCAGCCGGTAAGTGCTTGTGGTCAGTCACTTCTTCAGGTGCACGCTGTTCAATCATTGTATTTATGGAAAGTGTTTGAACTTTTTTTTTTTTTTCCATACAAAGTCTCTCCTGAGTATTTTATGTTTAGCCAAACAAACTGCATCTGTGAGGTACTGCAGGATTCCTCTGGGACTTGCAGAACTCAGCAGCGTGTGATTTAATTACCTGATCGTTATCTCTGAAATTTGGAAAATAACATCTTTTTATTGTATAGCGTGTGGTTGATAACACCAACGAAGCAATTCCACTGCCAGATGAATTATAGGTCAGGCCTTGTCAATGTAGATGAAAATTTGCAATTAGTATTCTGTACCTGGCTGCTAACGAACCATCTAATCAGGAAGTTTCTGTGTACCAATAATCTTCCTGTGAGTGTCAAGGTCACACGAGTGCTTGATAAAATGAGACACGTAGGGTTTTTACAACAGCACTGATACATTAAGTGCTAAATGGATTGTAAATTTAGGTTTTACATCTATGCTTTCCGCTTCAGCAGAATATACACAATAACAGACTTACAAATCCTCTTCTAATTCTTTTTTTTTCCTTTCCTTCGGAGTGAGATAATTCATACTGTAAAAATTGGAATTAAATTGAAAAACCTGTCTGTGTCAGAAGGGATAATTGTACAGGCAAGAAACATTTTCAAAGGTGTTTAGAAGATAATTTGAGCTAGTGTGCTGCATTGCTTCCCCTGATCAATAGTAAGCCGCTCCTGAAGGAATTCAGACCTCGAAACTCCATCAGGCAGTAGTGGAGAGGAGGAGAAAAAATGAGAATCAAGAAGCCAGGATGACTGATCAAGATGCCTTGATTTTAATGCACATTGGACATGTAAACACTGTACATCAGGTAAATGCTGTGGATGAGAACTACAGTTGTATGGTGAGGCTGAGAAGTAGGAGATGTAACTAAAACTGTAATAGAAATTTTGATCTTAGGAAATATCCTGCATTGAGAAAACTGGCATCCTCCTTCCTTCATGAGCAGATCACTGGGCTGGGGGCCAGGAAACCAATTCTTTCCCCAGTTCAGCCTCTCAGCATTGTGCTGACAGGTGAGGCAAACCGCATTTGTTGACAGTAATAAATCATGGAGGTATTGTAATTTGCCATGAAAATGCAGAACACAGTACTCATAGTACTCATTAAAGAGTAATATTTGTAAAAGGTAAATAGAGAATTTTCTAATTTTTTCCTGATCTCTAATACCACTTATTTATTTATTATTTTTAATTCAGTCGTATTGACTACTTGTGACAAGGTTTTGAAATGCATCTGATGATCTGGGGCTCTTTAATTTACAGGTTTCCAGTTGAAGGATGTGACTTCCAGGAAGTGCAAAGCAAAAATTCCCTGCAGGCATCTCTGAAGTGTCTCAGCATGGGTCTTGGCAAGTATTAAATTCATCTTGGAAATGTTGGTCCCTGTGCTACAGTATTAGATAATATTATGGGAACAATAGGTAATAGTAAGTGCCCCAAAGGGATATCAAGTTCCCACTAAGTATTGGTTAAGACAGCATTCATCTTAATGCCAGTGCATTTCTTATAGGCTGCAGTTTTGTATCAAACTACGTCCTGAAAGATTGTCAGTTTGAATTATATTGTTCACAAGGTAAAATGAAATATTCTGGCTTCCAAACTTGTGTTGATTTAGAATATTTCACACCTATTTTATTCACTGGGAGTGATACTGACTTCAGTGACAATGACATCCATGTTGACGTGCTGTCACCCTGTTCCCATGCCAGTGAAATGTCCCCTGGATGGAGATGGCACAGTATCTCTAAGCATCACGTTGGGTGTGAGAGGGGGAAAGAACGGTCATTGCAGTTATAATTCCTTTGTGTTCTGGTAGTATCCAGGGCCCCCCTTAAATCATCAGGTGGTTGTTGCCGAATTTTACAGCTTAACTGCGTCTTAGATTCTGTGTGTGGGTATGCAGAGATCTTTGCACATGTTGAATTTCAGAAAGCCCTTTCTATTTTCCTAGGTATCAAGATTTCTTTTGGTAAAATAAGATATTTTTATAGCATCTTCCTTCAATACAGTGAAAACCTTGGTGACTGTGGTCGTGCAAAGGCAGCTGCTGAGATTTTATTTTGTCTTAGCACCCAAATTTGAACTTTAGCAACTATATTCCTCAGGCGCTGTTTTGTGGGACTTGGACTTCTAAATCTGGGCCCCTGAGGTAGCAGAGTGTGGAGTGAAACTTCCCATCCCCACCAGGACTTTGGAAGGACTTTTGCTACAGCTCCTCAGCTAATCTACTCAACCCATGCAAACCTTGACCGTGCCCATTCCTACAGCAGCAAAGTCAGACTTCAGAATTAATTTAACAAAGTAGATTATTAAAAATGTCCTAATGTAACATACTCTATAAAAAAAGGCAGGAAACCAGTAACTTATATTATTACCACAACTTTCATTTTGATACGATAATCATAACTGGCTAACTGGCCAGGAAATGGAATTAACTTTTTGAGGACTGTGCAGGCAGAAGTTACTGTACTTGCTATACATTACATTAGCAGTCATGAAGACCACTAGTCTAACAAACTGCACCATTTTTGGCCACTTACTCTGATTCTGTAACGATTTGGCATTTATTTAGGGCCATACCCTTCTACCTGTCTGAAGTCCCTGCTGATTTTGACAGTAGGTGTTGCACTTGTAATTCAAGACAGGAAGAAAACCTTTTTATCTGGGCAAACTTGATGGAAGTCTTGCAAGTTCTTTAACAATTAGAAAAATGTATCCACTCACATTTTATCACGCGGAAAAATAAGCACAAGTGTTTTGGACTGTATGTCACTGCAAATGTGAGAGGTGTTTTCCAAGCACTGCGAAGGAATATGAACACAGATGGTCATTTCTCTTAACACGTCAGTCTTTGAATTTCTGGAGTCTTTTAGATGGAAGAGGTGTGGTTTTTTTTTGTTTGTTTGTTTTTTTGTTTTTGTTTTGTTTTTGGTTGTTTTGTTTTTAAATGGTCTTTATTTAAAAATTGCTGAGAAAAAATGTTTTCACAATTTAAAAATGTATAACCTTCTTGCTCACTTTTTTCCCCCATGGACAAGTAAAATAACTTCTGAAGTTTTTTCAAAAGTTTTAAAACTATATTAAGATTCCTTCAGCCAAACCTTTCAACTAATCAAATATTTTCAAGGTAATAAATATTAAAGATTTCAATCTTTGGTTTAGGTTGGCAACAGGAAAATAGTTTCAGTAAGAAAGAAAAGCATTCTCACTCCCAGATTCCTTTGAAGTCTCTTCTACCTGTCTTGATTCAAATAAAGGGCAGTAATGTAAGCAAAATTTCAAAAATGCTCCTAAGAGGAAAGGCACCGCCTGTGGGCCTTTATGAAAGGCATCCAGATATGTCAGCCCTTTCACCACCATTCGCAACAGAGCATCCACAGTTATTGTGGGTGAGACCAGTGAAACTGCACTGCGCTTAACAGATGTCACAAAAAGTTCTGCAGTAGAAAAGGATCTGAGAGAATGTGACTCCTCCAGAAGAAACTCTGCTAGCCTTTGGTTTAGAAGTGCTATAGGGGCTCTGAATTTTGTCTGATAAAATAAAACTAAGAACTGGTTCTCCCCTTCAGCTATTTTTCCTGAAAAAGTATACTTGCTAAAATGAAATAACATCAATCTTGGGAAAATAGGTAGCCATAGCAAAAGAGACATGTACAACTACCCTGAATGCAAGAATTTACTGAAATGGTTTTAGGTCCAGTAATACCCCAGGCAGCAAGTTGTTGTTTTTTTTTGGTGGTGGTGGTGGTGTTTTTTTTTGTTTGCTTGCTTGCTTTGCTGTGTTGGTCATTGTTTATTTTATACGTATATATCTTTTTTATATAAAAGTAATAATCCCGTAATAATCACCTCATAACAATGACTTTAATTTTTAAGGTCATTTTTACAAATTGATTATTTCAGGATTATTTTAAGTGTTGCACTTACTTTGGAATGACTACAGGAAGACATCTTGCTGTTGCATTTATACTAGCCTTTTACTAATTCAGTTGTCATTTATTTTATTTTTTATTTTTGGTTAGTATGATTTTTTTTAATACCTTTCCTGTAGCGATTTCTTGTACAAGCTTCTTTGGCTATTGATACGTATTGGATCACTAGCTGAGCAGAATTAATTCTGTATTTCCAGTTATTTTTAGTTAAACAGTTTTCTTCTATGCTGCATGCTTGCACAATGTATATGGTAACTACTGCTTTATTTGACTGAAAGCAGGCTTGTCTTGCTTCAGGTTTTTAGCAGCAGCCAGCCTCAAAGCATAATTTATTTATTTGTGTTCTGCCTCTTGATATCAGAATTATATTTTCTTAGAAACAGAAAAAAAAAAAAAAAAGATTGTAATTACTGTTCAAATACATTAAGAAATCATATAATATGTACCACCTAAAATAAAAGGTGGTTCTGAAATTTATACCATAGTGGTACTTCAGAAATAGATGTAACATGTTCATTATGTCATGTTTTTTTCTTATAGTGAGCAGAGTAATACAAGCTGTAAGCTTCATAACGACATCCTTTCATCCTGACTGTAAGTAAATGGGCAACACATCATAGAATATGTAAGATGGACTCAGAACAAGCACAGATAAAAACACTCATATAACCCTAAAATATCCTTCTGGCTTTTAGAACTGTGTGTTGTGGGGGTGGGGGAATATATTTTGTAGATTATACATTTAGCTTTATAATTCAAAACAAATAGCACCTACAAATTACATGGATAGTGATTAAGGAGAGCACAGAAGAGCATTTTAATCTCCTTCTACACCTTGAAACACCATGCCTCTATAACAGAGATGAGTCCAGATTGCCTGACAACTGTAACCATGTGAAGGTTCAACACAAAGGAAAGGAGAAGAGCTCTGAAAAGCCTTGATAAACACTGAGCTGGTAGGCCTATTGGACTGCATTTTACTCCTAGCCATCCTTTTAATTGCATAATGGGAATTATCAGAGGATGCAAAGCCTTGAATACTGTTGGTAATTTATTGGTTTCATATGTTAAACTTCTAACAAAATGCTATTGTCATTCCTCTGATTTTTTTACCCCATTCAGGAACTTCTATACATTATAATTTATTGCTGAAAACATCTTCAGTAGTGAAGGGTTTTTTCCTCTTAAAGAAGAAATACCGAGCACATGGAACGCATATATTTCTACATATGTGTCTGTATCTGTATGTATTTTAACCTGTATGTGAAGTTCTGTTTTCTGACGGGCATCGTTTAAGTGTGGTGCAACTGTGTGACTGCGTGGTTCAAATGCCACAAAGCGTCTTGCATCCAGATCAAGCCACCGTAAGTTGGCTCTCAGTGTGTAACAGAAGTGCTGTGTTACACATATAGCAAAGGAATTCAGTTCTAATGGTATGGAGAGTTGTGTGAAATGGCTGTTTTGTGGAAAGTATTACTATTTTATAAGTAATTCAACAAGGTATTTATGTCCAGGCATAAATAATCTGGATATGTTGCTGCAAAACAGATATTGAGTAACAGATGCAGGGTGTTTAGCTCATGTGGAACTTTATATTAACACAACTGCTTATAATATTTTAAAAGGCCCTAGATTAAGCTTATTATAGACTTGGTAATTCAAAACAAACAAGTTCTGTACCTTTTTGTGGCATTAGAAGCAATGCATTCCTTAGGCCCTTGGAGAGCAACGACTCAGAGCTAACCTGAACAAGAATGGACCTTGGCACGCTCAATGCCTCATTCATTCTGCACTGCTGAATCCTTACAGTAAACTATTCAACCCCTCAGTACATCAGTCTAATACACAGCCAAATACGCCCTCAAGTTTCAAAGTAATGTAAGAATTGAAAAATCCCTCAACCCTTGCAAGGGTACTAGATAAAAGACCTAGGATCTTAAGGGTAAATCAGTACAAGGCCTTCACCTGAGGCCTTTCATGACAGAACTCCTAACTTCACACTCTCTGTAAATGTGAAGTGCTAGAATGATCTTCAGGTGTCTGTGATGACAGAGAATTAATGTTTTGAAAGCAAAATGCAGCTATTGTTCTTAGGGACGAAAAACAATGTTTATGAACAGGATGGAGAGAGAGAGTCTAGAAAGGCCCTGACTTGTATTCTGTGGCCCAACAAACAGCACCAGGCCTGACTGCAATAATACTCCAATTACCAAACTCTAGGGGAGGATAGCAGGCATTTCTCTCTGTCCGATGATTTAATTGGGCTGTCAGCTAGGGATAATTAGTTTCTGGTTGACTGAAAAAAGTGACAGTGACATCAGCTCTCTGTTACCCTTTATTATTTAAATTCTTGTATCCTAACAGGGCCTCAGCACACAGGGCGCTCCTGCGGCATTTACAAGTCTCTTGCAGGGCAA